TTAATCATGTTTTGCATCCGAAACGAGTTTCGCACAGAGTTACGTAGTTGATCGATCGGAACTTCGTTCGATCCAACGACAACTTTCTACAAGCTCAACGTTCTGCAAGACGTCGTAGAGACGTGAATTCACGTAAAAGGCAAGGCACCAACAGGACACAATAAAAAATATGCTATTTGTAAAACGAACAGAGTGAAAGCGAAACATGGTAAACAGAACGCAAAATAATCAGAGATACAGAAAAAATATAAGACAAAGTAGAAATGAAGCTTATCAAAGTGCAAGCTATCAAAGTGCATGTGAGATGATCAAACTGTATGTGAGAAAAGCAAAATACAAAATAGACGTAAAATAAGGAAGGATGTAGAACAAAACGTAAAATAGACAGAATTTTATTATCGATATAGAAGTTGATAGTATATGATATAGAAGTTGAAGTTAATGATGAAGTAATAATTTATCGAGCGATCCTCTTAAATATCCAACGAGAGATTAAATCACTAGACCGCATTATCTGATTTTACGATCAAATTTCCTCGTGTAACGATCGACATTCGATTACTTTCTAAAATTGTTGCTGTTGTTGTTGCAACTGCGGTACGCCGCTCGTAAACGTCGTATCGGTCGATCGATGTATATCGGGTATCCGGATACGATTATAATAATAATTGTTCGGGTGCGCAATGATGTCCGGGGCGATTATTGCCGTAATTGCTCCGGACAAACGAGCGAGTGTAATTTTCAACGTTCGCACACGCTCGAATGCCGTAATCGTAATTGTCGCGGAGGACTTTTTGCCACCGCTCCAAAATACACCGGCGCGCAATTGTAATACCGTAATTACCGTGTCGGATAAGTCGGTCGAGGTCGGTCGTGATAGGATTTTCCGGCATTTCCAACGTAAATTGCATATTTCATCATGAATTTGAACGGCGGCTTCGTTGGACCTCTAGTTTCAGTCACCTTTGTCTAAAAAAAACATCGACCGCGACTTCGGCGACGATATGCGAGTTTTATAAATAGATCATGTTTTGTAAATTAATTCGACAAATAAAAAACTTGCTTGTATAACATATTCTGTACGAGAGATAGCAGAAATAAGTGCATTAGTTAATAGCGCTTTAAAGATAGAAGATTTTGCTGAAATATCTACAAGTTTGGCCAAATATAGATCTAAAAATAATTATGTAGAACATTCAAATTGGTTGCTAGAGATTGGTTACAAAAAAATTTTATTATCGTCATGCTTAAATGTTTTTTAATAATTTTGATGACTCAACAAAATTATTTTCAGACTTTCAAATTTTTCAAATTCATTTCAGCAAAATTGTTCTTTATATATATAAACATACTTGTAAATATCACTCGCGATATTAATCTACGAACAGCCACAATACATGAATGATTTATGTAATCACGTCGATCGTCGTCATTGATTCCGTTCATTCATACTTTTACCATTCTCTTTCCCTCTCGCAAACAGTAGAAATCGGCCGCTAAACCTCCTTGCCGCCGAGGTGATGTCGCTCGTTAAATATCATAACATAGATATTTTCCTATTGCGTTTGAGAATCTGTTTTAATATATCGACGAATTCATCAAGATGTTAGATGAACGCTGACAGATGAATGTGAACGAATGAGCGACTATTTGCAACGCGTGCCACTTTTCGTAATACGACGGCAAAGTAAAACCTTTCGAAGTGTAAAATTAAGTGGAACGTGTTTTCCATACTTGCAACAACATAACATTTGCACATGCATCAGCATTATGAGACAAATATATACCGCGTTCCACAACGTGCGGTATTTGACCGCGCTTACACCTAGCATTAATTGTTTTTAGCGTTGAATTTATGATCAGGCTATAAACCACCAGACGGATCTATCGGTGATCTTGACGAGCAATGCCGCTATCCCTTTGTGATTTTTTTTCGCGTTGTACGAGTTCGTATACAGAGAAAGCTTCAAAACTATTTAAATATCCTCTTCGCACGATCGTAAAAACGGCACAATTATCAGCCATCAGTTGAAATGAATCGAAGGAAAGCGCATTACAATAACCCCTTTTCCACGAGAGACAAACGCCGGAAATATCATGACAATAATGACACTTTCGAAAGAATAATTTATTCGGGTCTTGATATCCGTGGCGCTTAATCGATACAAGTGCTTCATTCTTCTCGCACATGTCGAAATAGCACGTGCCATGACTTTTTTGATTGTGAAAATCTTATCGCTGACATCGGGAAAAATTCAACACCGCGACTTTACGCAATTGCGTCTCGTGAACTTCCGCGATTTTATTTTATTTTTAGATCGACGAAATCTATTTTTACATAGGATTTGTTTTATTCTTAGGTAAAATAAAGTTTCATTTTGCAATCCTCTATTGTTTCGAATATTACTTTGTCATTATTATTAATTGTCCATCATTATACATTATATATACGTTTTCGTTTCCATTAAACGTCGACACTTGTGTGTCTTTTAAAGTGAAAAATTATCAATGTGGAGAGTCTGTTCGCGCGCATTCTTTTATAGCGAGCATAAAGGCGAGCGTTTCATCTTATTTTTTTTGTGAGCCCGTTTCGGCATCGACTGTCCTAGTTACCTACATTTTAGCAAAGAACCGAATGAGAATGTAACATTAAGAAGAGCAAGATGAAGCAGGATGAACAGATGGGCTCACGAAAAAATAAATCGGTCGCACAAATAACGGCACCGACTTTCCAGTGGGTGAACTAAAGTGAGAGAATGAGAAACGTAAAAATAGCCGCGAGTTTGTTGATTTCTATTAATGTCTGAACTTCTCAATTGTTAAAAAGTGTATGGTCAAAAATGGATTTTAAAACTTATTGAACACGTTTTATATTAAAAAAAAAAGAACTTAAAGTTAATTAAAAAAGATAACGTCTGATGATTACACTAATTACAAGAGATATAAATTTAAGATACAAATTTAATTTTTTTATAATTCATATTTGTTGATTACGCGTCTAAAGATTATTACTATAAATGCTATGTGTTTTAAACTACACAGAAAGAACGATTTTATTGAAATATTTAAAAATTTATTCAGGTAAAGATCTGAAAATAATTTTTTGAATCATCAACATAATTATGTAAGACGTTTAAACATGATAATATTACAAAAATTCTAACAATCAATTTGAACACTATGTAATTATTTTGATAGTTCAACAAAATTATTTTCATATAATAGCCACATTTTTAAATATTTCAGCATAAATATTTCAGCTTCGATATCTTTGTTCTTTTTGTGTTTACTTTTTAATATCCTTTTTTTAAAGACGAATTTATATATTAAGACATGAGATGTATATCGCAAAGAAATTATATATATATATATATGTATAAAATCTTTTTAAATGTATTAAATTTACGTCACATCATATGTTGTGTAATGTCATATTTTTACATATAAGGACGAATACATTTTTAATCAGTATTTCGTAAAGATGACTTAAATAAATAAAACAGCTTTTTTCCTTTTACATCTTTTTTCGATGGAACAATGTAAGGCTTTCACGAAAAGTATGCAGGCCCCCCTCTTCAGAAGGGGAAATATTAAAGAGTAAGCAATGTGCGAGGGAGGAGGAGACGAACGAAAGAACTCAAAGCGGCAAGGTATCGACTCTTTGCCCCTCTTCTCTCGCTAGCTGCCCATCGTAAGCAGCAGTTTGCTTGTCACGATGGGCCCCAATGTCTCGATTATTCGTTTAACGGGACTCGCACGTCCACGATGGTCGGATTTCTCCAGAACGTAGTGGGTTAAGGATTCAGCTCGTCGCGTTCAGTCTTCTTCTAGGCGAGTACGCGCGTGGACTGCTCCGATTCCGTGCACAAAGAGCATCGTCGAGCTTATTTGAGAAACTCATCTCGAAAATCGTCGAACCAACCGTCGAACAAACCGTCGGGCAAAAAAGGAATTGCGATTTTTTTTTTTTCAAATCGCAATCTCTCCCTCGACATTAAAAGGGGATACAAACCGAATCGATCGTCTCCGATAGTTTGATTTGACTCGACTGGATGCGGTATTTAAACTAATCATAACACGATGATGATACTCTTATTTGATCGCCAAATGTAATAAATCCTCGCAATACTCCGCCAGTGTTGTCATAACATTATTTAACACTTGACTCACGACACTTGAAATCTCGCGCAGTTCGTAGAGAAATCCGTTTTCGCGTGTGACTGCGAAAAAGGGGCTGAAACTTTTGTCATCCCGCGTTGCATGACATTCTGGCTTGGAGTTTGTAAGGAGGCCCTCCTGTCAGTGACGCAAGACATCCTCTTCGTTTCCCAGCGTCCAAATGAAATGTGCGCTACAGCGTACACGTGGTGTTCAGATCGGCGGTGAATGTCGCCGCGAGTAACTTCTCGAGTGTTATCTCCAGACGACAAAACTTATCTTTCTTCACTCTCCTCTCTCGTCGGGTCGAAGCGGAAAATCATTTTTTCCGAATATTGAATTCAATATAAAAATCGTGCTTCTGCACTGAAATCTAAAAACTCGACATTTCCAAACAATATAATTAAAAAATATACAAGGTCGGATGAATAAAATTTGTGAAGGTCAAGTCACCGAGTTGTGAAAGACTCTGACGAATTATCGAATAAAGTTTCGAGAATATAAGACGAAACGTGACGAGAAAGAGAGAAATTTTTGGAATTTAAATATTCATCATTCAACGATAATTCGGCCTCTTGAATGTATGTGTCTGTGTCGTGACGGTAATTCGAGTGGGCAGTGGGCTTTGATATATCTGTCCGCGTACAACGCACGTCTGTGCTCTTCGCGCACGTACTTTCTCGTTAAGCGGTTCAACACGGGTTCCGTACTGTCGAACGTAAGTCGAAACGCAAGAGCTTTGGAGTTTGCTCGTTTTCCCGCGGATATTTTTTACGTGATAATTTTTGATAGTATATATCGCAAGAGGCAATATCAAATGATTTCTTCTTTTTTCTCGAAAGGTGTTCCTGGAGCATCGGGGTAAGGATGAGGTAGGGCAGCTAGTCGGTGCCAAAACCCATGGCGCAACACCCTTAGTCATGGCATGTCGGAACGGACACTACGACGTGGCGGAATATCTCATCGAAAAATGTGGAGCAGACGTGGAGCAGCCCGGATCAGGTGAGATCGCAAGATCCTTTCATCGATGGCCTCTGTTTCAGGTCAACGATCCGTTTGATTACCGGGAACAACCAATGAATCGAATTGCAAAAGAGATGCTCGGCAATGATGCATTTTATCAAGTTTTCCTCTTTTCTCTTTTAAATCAAGCTTGAGACTTTGTTCTTACAAACGCTTTGCATCGTAATTCACAATATTTTGCTTATAATTATTACGATTATATTACTTTTTTGCAAATCGAGATTTAAATCGTTTCGATGCTAAGAGCTTACCGGAATGTTTCTTTGGATATAGTGGTTTTCGAAGGCGAGACAATCGAGGGTGCACCACCCCTATGGTGCGCGGCGGCAGCTGGTCACTTGACTTTGGTCAAACTGCTGGTGAAACGAGGCGCCAAGGTGAACTCCATCACGAAAACGAATTCCACACCCCTGCGCGCTGCGTGTTTTGATGGGCACTACGATATCGTCAAGTTTTTAGTGCAAAACGGTGCAGGTGAAGAACACGAGATACAAATTCGTAAATTATATTTTTAAGTCTTGTACAATACCTCTCCCTTGTGAAAGTATAAACGTAAGTAAAGCGAATTCCGTGACTTGGAAAAATATGAGAGACGTCTGCGAAAGTTTCGAGGTAAAAACTACAGTTTTCAGAAGTAAAAATTACTAATCAAGATTCTATATACAAAACAAAGATTTATATTTTATATTGAAAAGTAAAATATTTAAAATACTCCGAGCAAATTCCCGTTGGAATCGCGTCAGTATCTTCTCTATTACAGATATCGAGATGGCGAACCGACATGGGCATACATGTCTGATGATCGCGTGCTACCGGGGTCACGTTAAAATCGCAAAGTTCCTACTCTCTCTGAAAGCGGACGCGAATCGTAAGTCCGTGAAGGGTAATACGGCGCTACACGACTGTGCCGAGAGCGGATCCCTGGAGATATTGAAGATACTCGTCGAGCACGGCGCCCAGATGGACGTGGACTCTTACGGGATGACGCCACTTCTCGCGGCAGCAGTAACAGGTTAAAGCAGAAAGTTCCACGCACCACTCGAAGGTTCCCCTAAGACAGTTTATTTAGCTCGTCCGAAGCGATCTGTTCCGCGATGCTTAGACGGCTGAGGAAAAAGCGAGCGCTGACCGAATGTCTTTTCGTTTCCTCTCTTGTAGGTCATACGCATATCGTCGAGTACCTCATAGGCATTCCGCAATTGTTCAGCAGGAAGGAACGTATCGATGCGCTGGAATTGCTCGGGGCGACGTACGTGGACAAAAAGAGGGATATGATTGGTGCCCTGCAGTTCTGGAAGCGAGCCATGAACGAGCGGTATGTCTTCCGTAGATGAACGAATTTTAAAATCCGTGCATTTATCTTAAAACGTGTTGTGTCTTGTATAATCTTGAAGATACGATTTTCGAACGCAAAATGACCATATAGATGTGTCTTACTTAAATTTTTTTAAACGAATTTAATCGATTCTAGCTTTAAAAATATGATTATCGCTGTATCCTTTGACTTTATATGTATAATTTTCTCTCTCAGATATCGAGGAGATGGTCCGGTAATATCGAAACCTGAATCTCCGCCACTTGTAGCTGCTTATGATTTCGCTCGAGAGGTAATCGAACCCGAAGCTTTGGACGACCTGTTGGCAGACCCGGACGAAATGCGCATGCAGGCACTGGTGATTAGAGAACGAATATTAGGACCGGCTCATCCGGATACTAGTTATTATATTAGATACCGCGGAGCGGTCTATGCGGACGCGGGTAAATTCCGTCGCTGCATCGAACTGTGGAATTATGCTCTTGACATGCAACAGAGCATGTTGGAGCCGCTAAATCCTATGACGCAAAGCTCTCTATTCAGTTTTACCGAACTCTTCAGCTTCATGGTGGGTGAGGAAGGCAGACAGACGAATAGAGGTCGAAGGGTACCACCAGTAAAGAGAGAGGATCTGTTGAAAGTTTTTGAGAAAGCTGTAAGTGCACATCGTGTTGTCAATCGATATATCTCAATCCATCAATATTTATTACGATAAAAAATTGTTTGTAGGTTAACGAAGTAGCGAAAGGAAAGCAAATGTTGGATAAGATGGGCGATTTGGCGTGCGAGCGCGATTTGACATTTTTGAACAGAGTCCTCGTTATCACTCTCCACTTGGCGTGTCTCTTAACACGCGAAACCGGGGAAAAGGGCAGTGAGGAATATCACGCTTTACACAAGGAGCTCTACAAGTTAGTTCGAATAAACGCCAGAGGCAAGCAAGTGAGTGGCAGTTATAACAATTATCCGATAATAATTGTGAGAGAATAGGGTCGATTATCGATATCTACACTTTTTCGGTCTTGTGATGTGTTTTCAGAGCCGTGACGCATTGCAATTAGTTCACAGTGAAGATGGTGCCCTGGTTGGCAGGTATCCCACATGCAAGTTTCCGTCTCCTCACTTGACCAAGGCTTTGTTGAGAGTGGGCGCGAATGTGGCTGCCAAGGACAATGATGGTAACACGGCTTTGCACCTTACCGCGCTATTGCGTCCTTGGCGACCGATCCTGTCGGTCGATCTACTAGACGCCGGCGCACATCTCGATACGGTGAATAATGACGGCAAGACATTCGAAATGCTGTTGTGTAATAAGGAACTCTATGATTCGATTTGCCCACTCAAGTATACCACACTCGCCTGTTTGGCCGCGCGAGTAGTCAGAAAGACGCAAAAGATCAGCAGAGTGCCCGCGCACCTCCGCGCTTTCGTTGAAATGCACTAGTAATAACACATCGCCAGTGAAATAGTCGTAGCAGACACACATTTCTCTAATTGAGAAAGTATGACGACTGGAGAGCCAATGGTGATAATTCGAGCGTTAACCAATTCGATTCACAATTTACTCAACTTAACATCGAGATTCACCTTTCTATAAAGTCTCAAAGTCACTTTAATTTTTGAATATTCTTTTAAGAAAGTGATTTTGAGATACTCCATATATAATTCGTATTAAAACAAAGATAAAAGAGTTATTCTCGAGAAGCACAGATCTTCTATCCGACGGTACGAAGCACACGTGATTCCAAGAAGATCTTTTCTCTAATAATATAAAACATGTTTCGTAATAAGATTTTTATAAATAAGAAATAAATTAAGTTTTCAATTTTGATTGAAAACTTCGCTATTACGCTTCGTGATTCGTTCAATCTAAGCAGACTTCAAACTTATATATCTTTAAAAATTATACGGGAACATTATGCAAGGTGTTCTACTTATAAGCGGCCATCTCTTTTTATCTCGTAAATTAAAGGAGACAAATTTAATAAATATAATATAAACGAGAAAAATTAGTTTGAAATTTTTCGTGTTTCTCTTTATTACCAAATTGAAGAAGCAGGTTTTCAGCGAAAGCGAAACGATGCGTATCGCAAGTTTGAGTCTCATTTTTTCCATTCTTTTTTGTTAATTTCATAAGTTATTCTACTTATTACATTTGGATATGAATATGAATATAAAAACGGAGCATTATAATAACTTAAAATCTTTCTATAAATTATTAGTTATTTTTGGTTTTTGATTTCAGGAGATATTCATAACCAAAAGTTATCATTAGGAAAAATGTTTTCTTTTATAGAAATATTTAAATCATGTTATTTTAACTTCTTTATAATTCAAATTTATTTGATTTATAAAGAATTAGAAAATAAGTAGAAATGTAAGAAATATAACAAATAGTAGAAATATAAGAAATATGTTCTTTTTTTAAGACTCCTGACTACTCAATCAACTCCGTGTTGACGGTAGCAACACAACGTCGATAAAATTTAGAAGCTTATTTATCCTTGTTTATCTCATCCTTGTCCTTGTTTATCTTTATACTAAGTGACATTAATAGTGAAAGTTTTTTGTTGCACCTAATTTTGTTATGTATTTAATCGTACAGATGTGACTTGTCTTACCAAATTCGTAAAAATGGATGACAGCCAAAGTTATCTTTGAATTTTATACATAAAAATATATTTTTTACCTCTTTCAACATCTGTCAAATCGTGTGTTTTTCTGTCTGATTAGGTTTTACTTCACGCCTTTTATTGACTCTCAGGAGGGAAAAAGATAGTAGTCGTCAATTTTCACAAGTGTCAGTCTTAAAGCCAAGTATCATTTTAATCAAATATCTTTTTTGCAAATTACATGCAATAAATTTCACTATATTCATTTCATTTCTCGCTTATGTCACAATTCCAATACAACCGCAGCGATTGGTCAGGAGCCTTAAAATTTAATAATTTTTTATTACTGTTAGCCAATGTATCCTTATATTTATTTCATTTATGATATAAAGAGATGGTCACTTCTAGTAAAACATTATTTATTTTATTAAACTATTAAAAATGTTATATTTAATGAAACGCAATTTTATACATTTTGCTTATCTATATACATATATATATTTTTTAATACGATTTTGGCAATTCATAAAATATCTATTTTCATAAAAAGAATAAAAAATTAAAAGTAAAAGATTAACGCAGGGAATAAGCTTTATTTTTATTACGATTAATAATTTCCCTTTTACATTTTATAATTATTTAATCGGATTTTATTTAAAAATTTATCAGCGATATTTTTATAAAATTGAAATAAAATCAATTATTCACATCTTTAATAATCTCTTGTTTACTATTGTTTTTAATAGGTAAAATTAGTAAATTAGCAATATATTTTGATAGGTCTCTTTGGTGTCAATGTGCAATGATTTAAAAGAGAGATTTTGAATCTTGATGAACTAGATGAATGTCCATTGGTACAAGGTGATAATGCAGATATTGTGATTTTACTATTGCGAACTTGGCTAATTAAAGGCCTCTTCCTTTATACATAAACCCCACCCGCGCGCAAGCCATATTATATATACATTATTACGTTGATAACGCTTAGCGATAACATAAATGTACGTTGAATTCAAGTGTGTTATCTTAGAAAAGTAACTTTTTACCTTGCTGTATAAACGAATAAAAAGAAAAACATGGATTTGTAATAAAAGTTTTCTGACACTGTGAACAGTGAATGCAAATCTACACTTAGCATACTATAATTTTGTAATGTTTTGCTTATATATAAAATAATATTATTACAAGATGTTTGGGTTCTTGCATATATGACAAAATATAACAAAACAAAATATAAAACAAAATTATAATACGTTACGTTTATATCTCGTTATAGCACGTTTCGAATGCCACACAGGTTACTTCAGACTTCGCTGATTATTGATATGCCAATGCAAACAACAGCGATCGGAATTGATGATTCACTCGCGGTATATAAGTCATGAATTTCTGCGCCTTCATACCTTTATTTCAAATGTGATAATTCACGTATACATAGGTAATAGAGAAAAAGAGAAGTAAAAAAGAGAAACGTGTTTCGCTTTACATGATTATATATAAATCTATACAATACATATAAAAATGGACGTGTGATGTTTAACGTGCCTTTTTTTTTCTTTTTTTTTTTTCGAGAGACGTCGGTGCACTCTTCGCGCGCTAAACGTGAACACGGTTGTCGGCAATACTGTTTGTACTATTAATATTAATTTACACGAATTACGTACCCGTATTTACCGTATTATGCAATTTTATATACGTTTTACATGTTTCGTTCGAGCGGTGGTCCCGTTACTGGCACACTTGTGCGCGTCTGAGCTATTAACTGCATCATCGTCATATTACGCCGGGACCTCACATTGCGATTCTCTACAAACATAGTAATCCTTACACTTGCCCCGCGTACCGAAAGCTGTTTTATAATGTATAGGTAGACAAAGAAACAAAATACAGGTGTGATTGAAAGTACGACTTTGCGATTTTTTTCGTTCTTTTTACTCCGTACGACTCACCATTTTCATAAGACACAATGTTGCTCGTGATAGCTTCCCTGGAAGAACAACATACTTGCATAAGGTGACTGTTCGTCAATTGTTAAAACTTACCTGACTTTGTCACATTTTGGGAAAGATGTTTCTCATACGTGACCTGGAAATAATCAATAATATCCATATTGTATCTATACCCCAGTATGTAATAAAAAGTATTCCTTATACGATAATTCATATACGTATTATCTCATTCTATTTCACGAGAAAGAAAAATGCCTCTCGTTTTCGCGCGACAAGCATTAAAAGATTGCATTGTGCGAATCGCATAAATATATCACAATGGCAAAAGAATAAACACGTCTTGGTCCCTAAAGTCGAATTATTAATTCGAAAAGACACGAGCACCGATTCTCGAGGAATAATATAACAGTGACGATAATCACCACGTTAATAACCTTGTCTGTATTGCGTATCGGAATCCTGACTAAATATCATATCAATAACAAAAAAAGGGATAATACCACATCTCCTTTACATGAATACGTAAGAATTTAGTTCGACATTGAGAACAAACGGAGGATCGGTTGCTTGAAAAGTGCCAACGTGTGCGCATTTTTTATCGCCGATCGCAGGTGGGAACGTTAACGACGAAAACACTTACCAACGAAAGTACATTAATAAAGTTCTGGAAAAAAAACGCAGTGTTCCGAATCACGATACAAGTTGACAGAGATTGTACACAAACTTTGGAATTGGATATAAAATCATCGACGCGTACAGAAGATTTCGCCGTTCACCATTCACATTTCTACACACAGAATCGAACAAACCACGTTAAAAAGACGACGAGAATCAACCCCACATTAACCATCCCTTTGTCGGTAATCGTACTATTAAAAGATCCATCGATGCGTCTCAATCTCATCGATAGTAAAAATATCGCTAAAAATTATTGGAGATGAAGAACATATTTAAGTGACAACACCATGCACAGGTAGACTCGCGAGTATCGCTTTTAAACTCTCGCTATTAATGATAGAACAAGTAATTGTTGCTATCTAATCGGGGCCAAATATCGTCAATCGGCACTCTCTTCTCGGGACCGTCTCCGGAGAATCGGGGAGGAAAATCATCTGAAAAAGTATCTCACCTGCGAGCGTGAACGAGCACCATCTCTTCCCTCATTGCGCAGACTTCCCAATTGCAAGATAATCGGAGGAGTGATCTGTATTTTAAGACATATCAATAAACCGAATGGACTCGTATCTGCTGAAAATGCAACGTGTTTACGGAACGCGTAACCGTACCGTCAAACGCGTTGCATTGCATGCTGAAACTCACTTAAGATCCATCCGAACCGACAAAAGTAGCAGCTTAAAAAAAAAAAAGATAAAATTTCACACAACAGCACAGAAATAAAACACAACGACCAACATGGTTTTTTTTATGATCAGAACGGATTTGGATTTTATTCAATCACTGTTATGAGATTGTGGTTATACAACAGTGTTATACAATGCACAGAATGTTCCTCGAGATCTACATGGCGAGAGGAGATTTATGTTTACCAAAAAATAATATTTCAAAAACATGCCACAAATTCGTCCATTGCATCAGGCTTGACCAGAGTCCCGTCCGCGAACAGAAGAATGTTTGCAAGAAAACAGATAGAAAAGGTCAAAAGACACTATTCGACATCGCGGGAGATACGGTTTACTTTTTGGTAAACATATCACGGTGCATAAAACGCAGAATTTTGCCGAATCCAGTCGTCCGATGTATGTACGTTCGCCAAAGTCTCTCGAAGCGAGTGAACTGAGAGGGGATCTTCCTTAAAAAAAAAAGAAAAAAGAAAAAAAGAAAAAAAGAAAAAAAAAGAAAAAAAAGACGACTACAACAAATTTCACGTATTCTTCATTTAGGTCATTAAATCATTTACAAAGATGCAACACAGTGTACGTAATACAGCAAAAAATAAACAGAAAGATAATAATAAACGATGTGATCGCATTAGAAGTCGTGGGCGACGAAGCGCAGTCCTCTGTCAAACACCACACGTGCTTTTTCTTGCGCATACGAAAGTACGAACGATACTATGAGAATCCAACACATATAAGTCCACGATCTGCAAAAATTTTAAACGAGCATACCTCGATAAGCCGCAAGCCGGAAATCTAATCCGAAGCGAATTGTCGAAATCTAATCCGAAGTGATTTTACAACGTTCAAAGTGTATTTTCATGATCGAAAGATTAATCTCTATCCCTTGGTGAATTCAACTGCGAATGCACAGCATAGCGTCATAGATCGGAGTGATGGAGAACCGATCGATCTCTCGTCATGATAACTAAGAAGTAAAATCTTACAGACTACAGTATCGCTAATTACTGTAAATAACCTGTAAATAGTGAATAACCTACACACTGAAAAGAAACCTACTAACTTACAATAAAATCAACCTAAGCCTAAACAACTAAACTATAGTCACGATCGCTAGAAAAAAAAAGAAAAGACTGATTTTAAAAAGTGGACTATTAGTAGACTTCCACTGTAAAAAGGAACGATAATCTGATGGTAAATAATATAGAATTGCAAAGTTAAAGGAAGGGGGGGCGGTAAAGAGAGAAAAAGAAAAGGAGATTATGGAGAATAATCGTCATAACAGTAGCCGACATGATCGTTTCAACGTTGAGTAGCCATCGTACGAACAAGACTTGCTGATCTTCCAAAGACAGACACTTCTCACATTCACCGTCCTAAGTTCTGCCAGACAACTAGGATGAATTTCGAGTATTGTCATCAGGAGTAGAACAATCCTGCAGACGACACATAAACACCCAGCTTCCTCACGCTGCGTCAATAAGTTATGGTTAAGCATCGAATTACAGCCAGTATAATCTTTTTATTAATGTTACCTTAAATTTTCGAGGCTACCCTTTGGTTCTTAGTACAGACGAACGTCAATCGTTCTACCGTCGATGCGCGATCTATTCATCATAGCTAATTACGGTCATTAAGGAAAACTTGTTTATACAAACTTTCTCCTTTCCCGTATATAATTACATATAGCACATATGATTATCATATATGTGTTATATATAATTATTCATACAAACCGACTGTTTTTTTTTATATCTCATAATTGACAATATAAAGAAAAAAAGGAAATAACCAGATTTCCAGTCAATTTGTTTTTAAATATCTGCTTTGAAAAGGATACTCACAGCACGCTCGGCATCCCATTCAGATGCGAACCGTACCATGCCCATATCAGTACCCCTCATTTCTGCAAATTTTACCTCTCCAACATCCTGGAATTTGTCACGTAACATCTGCCATGTAGTATTTGGAGGTAGCTGTAACAAGATAAGAATAAATTAAATATAAAATTAAATATCGAGTCGCGAGGAAAAAAAAGTACGTACATTGCCTATGAGTATAGTATCGGATATCGGTCTTGAACCATTGGAATTCTGACGATTTCCGCCACCACTTTGTCCCTGATTTCCAGAAAATCCACCGCCGCCACCGGAAATGCGATCACCATCTCCTCGATTAAATCCTCCATCAAAATCTCTACCGCCACCACCAAAGTTGGACCCACCAAAAGCATTGTTACCACTAAAACCTATGTCATTATCTAACTTAGATAATCCACGTGGCGTAAACGAATTGTTTCCTTGTCCACCAGCCAAAGAAGCCTGTAAACCGCTTAAGCTACCAACGCTGCCTCCGAAATTATTCAAATTCGATGCTAATTCATTCGTCAATGAAGGATTCAGCAATGAACTAGTAGTGAGATTGGCACCTAAGCCAGCGCCAGCGAGGCTAGCTTGAAGAGCCGCTGCATTAGTATTCGATAATGCCGATGCTGTGAACAAATACGATTATTTAAGATTATCTTATGATCATCTTTTTATTTCAAGATATTAGTTTATTTGTGATAGCAGATGATTCTTACCCAACTGTGCCGGTACAACATTGTTTAGACCGGCGCCAAAAGCGCCCGCTGCTAGAACAGGTGCAGAAATCGGATTCACTACTGGTGGATTATTCGCTTGTACATTGGGAATATTTCTTGCAACATCCAGCAGTCTATTACCACCGGCACCGAGTCCCATACCAATTCCCTTTAAACCTAATTTACAAAGTATTCATTTAACATTAAACGAGTTTATTAAAAGTGCTACATATGTCGGTCACGGACTGATAAATATGTAAGTACCTTCTGGTAATTTAGGCGGCATGTCAGGTTCATTAGCTCTGTCGAGTCTGACGGTCATGCGTCTATCGTACAATTGTTGATTATGAAGCATTGAAATAGCCTGAACTGATTCCACTGGATGATCGTATTCCACAACTCCGAAGCCTCTTGATTTACCATCCTTATCTTTTCCCAATTCAACATGCAATACTTTCCCAGCCAATTTAAAAACTTCAAGTAATTTTTTTCGTCCACTTTATAGTCCAGCTGAATAAATAAATATATTTCTTCAATGCATAAATATGCAATTATTATTTTTTTAAAGTATATTCATGTCATACTAACATTTGCAACAAAGACCCTTGTAACTAAAGGACCGTTAATACCAAGAGATTCTAAGAATTGTGTACTAAGACCATAGGTATTCCCAAATTTATTGTCACCTCCACCGCCGCCGCAGCCACCACCACCGCCACCGCCACCTCCTCCATTACCACCACCACCACCACCTCCTGCACCACCAGGTACCGACATGTTTTGTCTGCCACCACCTTGTGATCCACCTCTGATGGGATCTCTGAATCTATCGTCTCGATTTCTATCGTTGTTACGACCTGTAGTTAAACGACCATATTTGTCGCGTTCCACATCAAAATCCTGCAAAATATATAAAAGTATATTTGATAAAAGACAAGAAAGCTTGTTAAATTAAATATTTAAATGTTATTAAAATTAGTAAAAGAAAGATGCGAAATATCGCGACTAAAGAATCCTTGCATTTACTTCTTTAACAACAAGCTTTCTCCCTTTGATATCATATCGGTGCATCTTTTCTACTGATATCTTGACTGATTCTGGATCTTCAAATTCCACTATCCCACATCCTCTAGGTTTGTCATTCTCGTCAGTAAAGAGCTCGACATGTGCCACCTTGCCAACCTCGCTCCTGAATAGATCCTTGAGATCTTGCCATCGAAAATCATAAGGAATGTTTGATACATAAATCCGTCGGTCGGAGGATTTTCTGACGCGATCATTTCTCTCTCTGCTACGATCACGACTGGCTGAGTTCAGACGATTGGGTCTGTCCGATCTTCGATTACGATCACGCTCCCTGCTTCTATCTCTGTCGTCATTATTCTGTATCTGATTGCTATAATCATATATATAAAATAACATTACACTTGACTAGTATATACAAAATATATATAGAGCTGATATTGGACAATAAATCACAGCTGTATTCCAAATTAACCTTTGTTAAAAATCCATAATATATGTGACAGCTATACAGCAATCAATTTTGAAGTACAGCTGATGTCATACATATAGAAGAAATGATTTGGATGTTTTCTAGTAATAGACCCAAGTTTAAAATTAAATATATGTTTAAACTTTAATGAAAAGGAAAAAAAATAATGACGAACAAGCCTTAGTCTGCACTCCAATATTCACTGAAAAATCTATAATGCGATATGAACTATATATTTTTGCATTGTAATTTGGCATTAAATATTGAAACACGATCTTATATCATCTTATCGAGTGTCAAACGAGGACAGATGCTATAACTAAATTCGAGTCGATTTGTGCCTCTTGTTGGAAAGCATGTCTCGTGTAGTCAAAGATATATGAATAAAAGGTTAAGACCAAGATGAAGATATACAGTATATTTACGGCGCGTAATTCTTGCATGATGATGAAATTTAAAAAAATATCGAATAGCAGACCAAACGAGTTGTCGTCTCCCTCACCATAACAACATCGGGAGATCGAAGTCGTGGATACATTATATCGTATATCACGTTACATGACTTTGCGATTATTAAACGAATGGTTAACGAGAATCTCAATCGCGAGGCTTACTCGCAAAAACATATAGGAAATATCATACTTACTCTTCCGGCTTGATCATCGTCGGAAACCGGTTCTTAACTCGGAACACGTAATCCTACAAACTTAGCCGTTAAAGGTATATCGAGCATACACCTGAGCGTCGTGTAAAATGGCGGCCGTCGGAAATAGCGAGCGGCCACCGGATGTCACCGCGTTTGTCAATCAGTTTATCACGATATATGCGTTCTCGTCGAAAATTATCGAAACAAACATGCACACTGTAACAATATTCTGAAAGCGTAATTCGAGTTACACGATTACGATAGTGTTGTAATTATGAAACATGCATCGCTATATAAAACATGCGGCGGAAGGACCGGCGTACATTTCTCGATGAGTTTCAGAGCACGGCGGCATTGGGGGGAAAAAGAAAATGCAGACGACATCAATCATCCACGGACCTATGCAGTGAGCATAGGCCAATATACATAATACATGAGTATACAAAATACAAAACCTCTGTCCATTATGATTAAGATTATAATGATATTGTCGTTTTATTTAACAGAATATGCATGGATATTTCTATCATACCATTAAATATCTTATAAAATATATTTATTTAAATATTCTGTATTTAAATACATATGTCACAAACTTTTTAATGGTGACAAATTATTTTTTAATCGTAATATACAGGGTGTCCTCAAAATGCAGAGAAAAGAATAGACCAAAAAATATCGGAGTCCGAGTCTCGGCGGTCCTGCGTGCGTACATAAAGCTATCGAAGTCTCGACAATTGTAACGCAATGTCACGCGGCATCGAGAGATGACGCTCGCGGCAACATTACGGTCGCGATTGCGAGCAGCAAGAGCATCCGTGCAGTCGATGTTGTGAACCCCTATCACAGTCCCGTGGCGCGTCGGCGCAATAAGACCTTCTGGTTAGAGTATCCATTTTGATCACATGTGAGTATTCCGAGCTGTTCTTGCTTTCGGCCTCGACTAATGGTGCTAATTGCCCGAGCGAGCAGTGGAACGTTGAGAATACGCGGGTAAATGTCGGGCCGGTTTGCGTCCGCGTGGCGACGGCGCGACGCGACGACAACCGTCCGCGCTGACAATGTGGCCCGCTCGCACTCGCCCGTTCGGCCCGAATGCTCGCGCATTCTTCCTCTTTCTATCGCTTGAAATACGCCGTCCGCGACGACCGGCAGCGTCCTAGGGACGTCGCGACGCCCGCCGCGAACACGCCCGGATCGCCGGTCGGCCCGAGACGGCTCGCGGGACTCGCGATCTCCCGTGTTAGTCGCGACGGATCTTTGGTTAGTCGCGTGCTCCTCGTCCGCCTCCGACACCTCTCACTGTGCGCGAACTCCCTACAACGACGCGCCACGTGGTCACCCTGCTCGTCCGGGTGTAACCACGTTGTGTCGATCCGCCGTCTGGTGACTCACGCTATCGCGCGATTACCGATTGAAATCCGAGTCTCGCGACATTGAGAGTATGTAAATGGTGTGGATGATCCGCGAAAAATGAGAATGTTGTCGCGTTCGTCCAACCTTTTCGATCATTTTTATTTTCTACATTCAACGATGAGCGTGATACCGATACTTCATTTCCAATATTCCTCGGCTGGGGAAAACTAAGTTGATATAGTTTTCAGAAGTTCATAGTTTCGATTAAAATAGCTTTGTCGATATGTTGCTGATTTTAATGGAATTATTAATTGAGTAAAAAAAATCTTTGTGCGAGTTAAAATATTATATCGTGAAATAGATCATGAGAATTATCCTCTACGAGATGATGTAATGTCTATATTTTTGTTTTGTGATATGTTCAGATATCCATCAAACAACAATGGCAGATATTGAGGATACTCACTTTGAGACTGGAGACTCTGGCGCTTCTGTGACATACCCTATGCAGTGCTCTGCACTGCGCAAGAATGGCTTCGTCATGTTAAAGTCTCGTCCGTGCAAGATTGTAGAAATGTCAACTTCTAAAACCGGCAAACATGGTCATGCCAAGGTTCACTTAGTAGGTATCGATATATTTACTTCAAAGAAGTATGAGGATATCTGCCCTTCCACACATAACATGGATGTGCCGTTTGTTAAGCGAGAAGATTACCAGGTAAGGACTCTTTCCTTAATTTCTTACATGTAGCGAATAGAAGGCAGCATGTAGGTTTTTCCCCTGTATTTTTAATCTTTTTACTTCTGGAATTCAAGAGATTTTTACCTATTCATTTTTTATAAAATTATATTTTAATGTTATTCACACTTTGTAATTTTAATGATTTAATTCAAGCTCTGCTGATAATCATAAAAAAATTTGTATCAAACATTGTAAATTTTTAAATTTGAATTATCTGTGACAAAGACAATGTGTTTTCATAAAAATGAATAACATTGCAATTATTGGCAGCTTACAGATATATCTGACGACGGCTATCTTTGTCTGATGGCTGATAATGGAGAATTACGCGAGGATCTCAAGATACCTGATGGTGATTTGGGAACACAGCTACGTGCTGATTTTGAATCAGGGAAAGAGTTACTTGTAAGTATATCTTTGTATATAAAAATTATTTGTTAACATTCCTGTCTGTTGCATTGTATGTCTAAATTGCAATATTCTTGAGTTGAATTGTGAATACTACCACATTGCAAGGATGTAAAAGATATATGGACAGTTTATATAATTATTATATAGGTTTTCAAAATGAATTATCATTTACATCATATTTTGCTTATAATTTTCATCTATCTAAATCGACTTTTTAAAAATCGAAGATGAAAATTGGAATTAAACCTAAATTTACTGATTATGATTTGACCAATCTCACAATAAAAGTATTTATAAAAGATATTTTGTACATTATATTAACATTTTTTTTAGACATTTTTAATCATGTTACATATAAAACTTTTATGATGAAAAATGGAGAATTTTCTGATTTTTTTATAAACTTTATTTTTCTGTTATAATTATTGTGCAAGTTTATTTGTTAACTTAAATAATTGTGTTAAAAACTTTAAAATAATTATTGCTGATAATTTTTTATATAAATAGTTTATTAAATTATCGGGAAGATCAAAATAAAATACTTGGTTAATTGGTCCATTCGTGGCGTTGTCTTGTATTAAAAACTTTTAGTTTTAATCTTCTTTCATTTCTATTCTATTATATATTATATATAAGTTATATTAAATTTGCATCTATTTTTAATCATACTAGTTGATATTGCTATTAGCCTTGCTTTAAAGAAAATAATCTTTCTAACAATTTTATATTAAAATGATTGTATATTGTATAAATCTATGTTGTATTTTTTATTTTTATTTTTTTTTATTTTTTTTTTTTTTTAGTGCACCGTACTCAAGGCATGTGGTGAGGAGGTAGTGATCGCCGTCAAAAATAACACCTCCCTTGATAAATAAAATAATTGTGTTCAGCCCGACGACGACAAGAAGCCCAACATTCAAACAAAAACCCGCTTAGCCAATCAATCAACACCTTTACTGGATAATTGGTCAAACAGGATAAACAACAATATAACCAAAAAATAGAGGAAGATGATGAAGAGAGTGGAAGAGCGAAAGAGAGGAAGAGAGAGAGAGAGAGAGAGAGAGAGAGAAGAGAAAGAATGTCTGAGACAGAGAGAAAGGAAATAGAAAAGGAGAGGGAAAAGAGGGAGAAAGTAAAACGGGCTAGCAGATCCACATACAACAGCAACGCGCCAATGCGAGAAACGACTTTTATCGAAATAATATCCGCTTTACTTAATTATTATTCAACAATATTTAAATGAACAAATCCGGGAAAGCGAAAACTAGGTATACGTACAGTTATATACACTTATACACATATGGATAATTAGACACATTATGCACACATATACACATACACACACGCGCGCGCGTACGCATACAAAATACTTATACGTATACCTAAACAATTATCCACGCGTTGTTTGTTATATAAGAAAGTGGCGACAACTTTTCAACAGAAAGTTGATGGGAAATAAAAACTGAGAAAGCCTTGAGATACATCCTGGACCTTTTTTTTTTTTTAAAAGAATAGAAAGAAATTATTTACAACAGCTTTGTAACTTATTACACTTATGTGTGTGAGTGAGAATATGTGAGAGAATGCAAGAGAGAAAGAGAGAGAGAGAGAGAAAATTTTGGAGACCAATATGAAGAGATCGTGAGAAAAAGGACCCTGGTCCTTAAGCGCACGCGCGCGGAACAATTTTTCATGGGATGCTAGCAATGCCCGACACGAAGCAGCTCACTTCAAGCATCTTTCCTATAATGATTGATAAGATAAGACTGGAGTCGCTATACGGAATTTTTACAGAATGCTAAAGGTTTCTTTCTTTTTTATGAAAAGATCTCGATTTCTCGAGATTTTTAGGTCTAATATAACTTAATCGTGAAAATAAAAATTTCAGTTTATTCTATGCAAATACTGAAAAGGATTAAACATTTATGAGCTTTACCATTAGAGAATTTAAAGTTTGTAAATTTGAAGTGGAAATAATTTCAAATTTTCGAACTTTTAAATTCTATTTTTAGATACTTAAGAATTTCAAAATCAAAAAATTCAGCATTTTAGTTAGTCGTAACAGCAGACAAATGCTTCATATCTAAATGAGAAAATTCATAAATTCCAGGATCGGAATTTTTGAATTTTAAGAGATTTTGAAATTTTAAATATGTGAGCATTTGTTTTTTTTGTTTTTTTTAAGTTAGATACAGAGGCTTTGAAATGGAAGAAGGTTTATGTGAGACTTAAAATGTATAAGGACTTGAAAAACACGAGAATGTCCAATTAAAGAGCTGAGATATGATTTAGACCTTTAAATCCAGGAACGTCGAGATCTTAAGGGTCACACAAAATAACATTTCGCGCGCTTTGAGATGGCTGGTGCGGCGCGATGTAATATCGCGTCACGTTCAGAGACTGTAATTGGCTTATGAATGCTCAGACTATTACATTTTGTTGTAATATCGTTTTAATAAACATTTTTCAGAACAGGTTATACGAGCCGTCTTCAATCAATAAGATAAAATAACTTTTAATTAAGCTATGTAACAAAGGTCATAATTAGATGAGGAGAGACGAGAGCCGCGAGTGGAAGATCCTTGTGTGAACTTGCAAAGTGTGTGTGAAGAATCTTTTTTCCTTACATCCTTTCCATCTCGTGACATCGTTTGTATAAAAAAAAAATTGTTCCGGAAGTGCAGTCTGAATGATTAGGAATAATTATAAGCAGATAATTAACTACAAGAGTGTAATCACAGTTATCATTGGAAGGTATACGTTTTTCTCCCTCATGGAACTCTGTGACTTTGAATTTGTTCGATTTGGTGTCCTCGCGATTAATCCACATCTTGTTTTTCTGTAAAAGAGTTATCTTGGCTCCAATACAACACAGCGTTTTTTTTTTCCAGATCATCTTAAGTTTTTATTTATTTTTTACATTAAAACATTCAGATTGCTCATAAACGTGCTGCGAGAACTTTGCATCACCGAGCCTCGTTAGAATCGAATTTCAAATATGTTCCTAGCGATTAAATGTCCTTAAACACTTAACAAAGTTCCTTTACGTAAAAAATAAATACGAAGACCCCAAATCGCCAAATATATGTATATGTAAATTCCGATATATCTAATAATTATTATCCTCACATCTCCCTCCTAAAAGCTATATATATATATATATATATAAGAGTTTGTTTTTAAATCTTTCAATCAATAAAAAAGGTATCCGCGAAACAATGCGCCTTCCTTGATGACTTTGATTTTTTGCGACGATATTAAAATCGAAAACTTACCTACTATAATCGAAATAAAATAACGTCTAATTAATTAATACTGTAATCTATGTGTGCTATGTTGGACCAGGCTCATAATTCTTTCGATTGTTAATTATAACCGAAAGCGAGAAGGTATCAATACACATGTGAAAAAAATAGTATAGAAATACTGGAAGAAAATATTCACAGGAGTGATATGGTGATGTCTTTTTTAGTCCTTTCTTAGACTGACTCGTCCGCACACTGCCATCATTCGGAATTTGCAAAAAAAAAGTTAAATTATGTTATTAAGTTAATTCATATAATATAATTATATAATTACGGAAGAAATAAGTTACGGGTAATAATATCGGTGGTGTAATTCAAGTGTAAAAAAAGGCACTAACATAAAAACTGCTTTTCTTTTCGTTTATGTACTTACGAATTCTACTCGGTATTTTTTTTTGCGTCTCTTTGTTACATGGAATAATTTAATGCTCCCATGAATCATATAGAATATGCGAGATTTTCAATATGTACGACTGCGCAGTCATTTACAAAGATCTAAGGATTTGTAGTATCAAGAGTCTTTAATATCTGTCATCCCGTGTACCAAGAAAAGAAGACCATTGGAAATTTCAAGGATGAGAATAAAAAAAAACGGATTTAGTAATCGTTGCTTTCGAGGTGCACGTACATGAACATACACAAGATTCGTGGTACTGACGATCTTTGAGATCCTAATAACTTATCAGTTCAAGGATCTGTAGTATCAAAGATCCATGTAAACCAGAACATCGAGATATGTATATCACGTGTAAAAAAAAAACTGCGATAATAAAGATCCGCGATATCAGGGATGTACGGCTTTCGAGGATCTGTGGTACCAGCAGATTTTTGTACTTGTGAAATTTAATACAAAAATGAATAAAATTTAATTTGAAAACTTTTATTTGCGCACTATATATGGATTCATTATTAACAAATGCAAAATGCAACCGCTCCTTTTTGGATTTAAATAAATCATTTTATATTGTCCCTCAGAGAGGATTATAGCTATGTTTTAAATTAATAGCGTAAACGGGTTATCCTTTAATATTCAAATTTCATACAAATTTTGTCACTTTTTCGTGATTTTAATTAAATGATTTTAATATGGATAAAAACAGTTTATAATTTCTATGTATAGTTTTCACAAAAGATCCTTTGCAAGGACAAATTTTTTGTTACAATTGTGATACGATACTCCTTTTATAACTTTATGTAAATCGTTTTATATCGTTTTCAGCGCTAGGTTACACGCTTTTAAATTTAATCCTAAACAGTATAAGCGAAATATTAATACTTTTCAAACATTACAAAAATGTGAACTTATTATCGTGTTTGCAATTATCATCATGTTATCAAACTTAAAACAAACCAAAAGAGAGAATTGTTAAATGTATTTTTTTGAGCTTTTACATAATAAGCATTAGACTATATTATTATAATAATTCACTCTCTTTTGCATTTTACATTGTTCTTTATCTAATTTATCGTTCTAAAACGCGTTGCACCTTTCCCGCATATTTACAATAAACTCTATTTCATTCTAAATTAAACAAAGTATTTCATACTGTTTAGGTTTAATCAACGCGTCTGTGATTGATTCGTATCTCTTTAGGGCAACAAAGTACAGTAATAAGTATCACTTCCGATAGACAATGATTTCCGAAATATTTTACGAGTTCTATAGATACGACCTGAGACTTGGAAAAGGCCCAAGTCGCAGCAGTTAAAATTCCCAAGAGTCCAACAAGATCTCAAGACTTATCGGGAAAGAACTCGAAGACCGTCGCAAAAAATTCAGAATTTTAAAGAATCTCGCGGATTCTAAAAATATAAAGGCTATGAAAATCGAAAGATCCCAAGCAGGATGAAAGGATCCACAAAAATACCAAATCTATTCGTAATCGTAATCGAAACTTTCCTGCTGTTCGCAAGATCAATTGTTAGCATTTCGCCTCTGCAGTGCCGCCGCGAGATCTTGCCTGAGCGCGGCCTGCTGTCTTTGATCAGCCAAAGATTGTACGGACCGCAGCCCGTTCACAATGTCCTTTGTTTTCCCAAAGTAAATCTCGTTTAACGTGTTACGAATCTTGTTCTCCATATCTTCCACCATTCTGCCAATGTTTGCGATATGAGGGGACGTTTCACTAATCTGAGCGTCCTGCTCTACCTATGATTATAAGTAAAACACAAAGATGTTTTTCAATTACATATAATGCCCAAATTTTTATATACTTTAACATCATGGTATTAAAAATTTACCTGACGTGTCAGACTACCACCTAAATTCATCGTACCAGAACCGTGCTTGTTAGTTTGCAACCATAGCATGGCCGTCGACGTGAGTTTATAATGAGCAGTACGACCAGTTGATTTCTCCTGAACCTCTACAACATGTATCGAATCCCAGCATCCTTTGATCTTCTTAGAACCGTCGCCAGCTTTCTTGATAAGAATTACTGCTGCAAAGCCATGATCCAAATCCCATAAGTACACCGACGAGACTCCACCTTCGAAATAAAGTTCCCGATATTGATCAAAGGCATGATTAGCATCTATTTCCAATTTCCTCAATCGTTCAGAAGGCATTGAGCCATCTTCCAATGGTGGATCATAAGTATTGCTCCAAGGAGACCTATAAAGCATATCACATCACATTACAAAATATATCATATTTGTATAAAGATAAATCATTTCCTACTATCAAACAATCTAAATGTTCAATTAAATCAAACCTATATGAATCTCCATCTCTATTGTAGTCGCACAAAAGATAATCTTTGCCAGACTCTTTATCTTTGGCGATCTTTAATGGTTGATCTACAGAGGACAATAGATCCTCGCATAGCGAAGGAACCAAATCAATCAGGTCGCTGAGGTTTTTTTCAATTTGCTGTGGAGGCAATCTCCGCATCAAATCTAGAGCACAATCCATTTGCTGTTCTGTCTGCAATATACATATTTAATTAAAAAATGGGAGTAAAACGTATAAATTTATCATATTTACAATGTCGCTAGTCGTCTCTTGATTTTCTTGAAAAAAATCCTATCTTTACATCTTGATATCTACATAGCAATGACATGAGTAGGACAAGTTCGTGATGACTAAGAGGGTCAGATTGTTCTCAAATACATGGAGAATCGCTGGTGTGATTTATCAAGAAGTGAGCGCGATAAAAGAGACGATAATCGACAGGTGAAACGTAAGAATGAATATCTTACCATACTGTTGCAATTAAAATTGGTTATAGGCCGACGAACATCAAAATCCTATTGGTCGACAATGAGATAAACGTAAAGCGTATTTTTTTTATTAGCCACTATCTCGCCAGGATTTTCGCAAAAATAAACGAAACGAGCATTGAAAGGGTGTGTCGTGGTGCGAGCAACGATTGGTTTGTCGCGCTCGTCGCTGGGTTATTGCCTCCGAAAGGAGCGAGGTTAACTGTTCGCGTCGCAGGCTAGCCAAACTGACGTCCGGGGGCTTAAGCTGACGTTGTCATGCGAGCGGATTGGCCAGCTAGAAAAATGAGAAATCTCAATCAGAGGTTTTCCTCGAAGCTTTTCATTCGAGAATAATTTCACGGAGGAATTCCCATTAATTTTAATAAAAAATGATTTTGTTTAATTTACTGGATTGCACTGCGTACAATCTGAGTAAAAAAGTGCATCAGACATTATATTTTATATCGCGATTGATTGATCTTGCATATATACATTTATGAATAGATCTTTGTGTCTTTCATACTGATTTTTTTTTTATATTTGCAAAATTTACAGAATCTATTTTTTTTAATTAGCATTATATACATTGATAACTTTTATGAATAAATGCCTATAATTCTTCTTCGTTTTTTTTAATTTTAAAAATATAGGTATAAGATAGATCTTTACATCTTCATTTAATTTTTTTTGACATAATGTTTTTCTCTTTCTATCTCTTGTAATTGATATCAAATTTTTCATTTTACTAGAATTAAAAATTAAAAATTTTTCTGATAAATGCATATAATTTTCTTCAGTTTTTCTTTCATCTTTTGAAACATATTTATGAATAGACCTTAATGCATTATGCCTCCAGACAGTTTATTTTTTTTATATATAATAAAGAATATTTGTTTATATGCGGATAGACATCTCCAGTTACCTAATTTTTTCTTCTATTTTTTTAATTAAAAAAATTGTTTTCCCTTGTTTATAATTAAATAAATTGGGAATCTTTCTAACAAACACCTTTTCATCTAACTCCAGAAACGTTCACGTGAATAGACCTTTACGTCTACATTCATTTCTCTCCACAGCATGACGTTGCTCATAAAAAACCAATTTTTTTATTACAATCACGGATTAAGAGCCTCTATTGACACATAGATAATCCTCCCCTTTTTTTTCTTTCTTCTTCTATACAACTCCAAAAGTCTCTCTCATTCTGTCTCTCGCCAGTAATCGAATCATAATCAAACTCCCCTTCCTCTCCGCCCTACGACTCAACACTAAAGCACGCTGACTGTGCGTGATGAAGAGTGTATGCGTGTACGGTTTGTATTAAACTGTAAAGTGTTTGGACACATTGCCGTTTTAATGATGGCGAATATGCGCGAATCTGCGCGAATAATACCGCAGTAATGATAGTGATTGTGTATCTTGCCGTAGGTGACCGTGGGTGACGAGCTCGCGCGCAGAAATCCGGTCTTTCGCCCATCTCGCATTCATGACCGTTGAATTTTGATAAACAAACGAGAATGGGTGTTGGCCTTAAACCGCTGGAATTTACGGATTGTTTAACCGACAGTCCGTACTTCCGCGAGAATCTCCACTATCACGAGCGAGAATTGGAGAAGACCAGTCAGCAGATTAAACGGCTCGTCAAAGAGGTCAAAGATTTATTGCTAGCCGCCAGGAGTAAGTTCTGCGGCCGCTCCAACTGTCAAAACTGTCGTGAATTCTTTATACTAACAGCTGTTGCACGCACGATTTGCCGCGTGACTATTAAGCCAGCTCTTCTGAAATGTTTTGCAACAGATAAATTTTAGGGATAGCGTTTTTTTTTTTTTTTAGTATACATCACTGTCATGCAAAAAATAGTTTTGTAGCAATATAGTCTAGTTCTTTTTTCTGTATATATTAGTTTTGCTAAATTAGTGAGTAATATACTGGAGTAATATACTTTTTCTAGACTTGTCTCGGGCTCAGAGAGCTTTTTCCAAAACATTGCAAAACTTCAGTTTTGAATGCATCGGTGAAAGTCAGACTGAGGATGAGACTCATATATCTCAGAGCTTGAAAGAATTTGGTAAACTTATTGCATCCATAGAAGATGAAAGGGATCGCATGGTAATTCAGTATTTTAATGCTTGTAGAATCTATTTATTTTATTACATTTTTGATGTGTGATTCTAAAGTATTATTGATAGAAAGGAATAATTTAAAATAGGATTAATTTAAAAAAAATTTTATAAGAAATGATAATGGTATCATTATTCCTTAAGATAGCTTGTCTTCTTTTAGTTGGAACGAGCATTTGACCAGATAATATTACCCTTAGAAAATTTTAGAAAAGAACATATCGGTGGAGTTAAGGTAATGCCATTTGACAATATTTTTATATTTTTATATACAAGTTTTTCATGTCAAAATATTTCATTCATCTTGTATTTAATTCTAATATTTCAGGACGGTAAAAAGAAGTTCGAGAAGCAGACAATTAAATTTTGTCAAAGTCAAGAGCGTTATTTGAACTTATCTACGAAAAAACAAGATAATGTTTTGCAAGAGGTATACCTAATAATCTTTAAAAAATTATGATACTACATTAAAATTATATTATATGATTTATACTTTATCTGCATGTGCATATATAGGCTGATGCAACATTGGAAATGGCTGAAAGACACTTCTCTCAAGCTAGCTTAGAATATGTATTTTTACTGCAAGAAGTTCAAGAGCGGAAAAAGTTTGAATTTGTTGAAACGGTAATAGTGCGATTAATTTAATTATCCTTTATTATTACACATATAAACATTCACATGATTTAACAGTTATAATTACCATTACAAATTGCACTTTAATATACGATATAAAATGTTCTAGTTATTGGGGTTTATGTTCGGATGGCTAACATTTTATCATCAAGGTCATGAAGTTGCGAAAGATTTCAAACCTTATATGACAGAGCTGCAGTTGAAGATTCAGAAGGTTGGTAATTAATTTTTATAATGTATTTCTAACTGCTTATACAGATACGTTAAATGATACGAAAGAAAATATTTTATCTCTATCTATTTTATCTCGATATATTTATTTCCAATTAATGTATTATTGCGAGAGACGGTAATTTAGAAACATTATTTTAATGATTTAATCATTTAGCGCTATCGCTGTATGTTGTGCAAGAAGTTTTATTGAAATCTGCATCACTAACATGTAGATACACGTTTGCTCTAGTATTTTCTAATATCACTGACAATAAGAGTTCTTCATTTTCATAATCCATGATTTTACTAATTAATTGGAAATTAATTTTAATATAGAATTCGAGAAATAAAAATATAGAATTCCATAAATAGCGTACGCATATATAATCGCTATATAATAAAATAAATTTAACTTATGTACAGCTTATGTTATACATTGATGTGGCATTTATAACAGAAATGCATTATCAAATATTATAATTTTCTTTTGAATTTATGGTATTCGGAGAATGTTGCTGGAAGAACAAGGAAGATAAATTATCGCGACTAAATTACTTCATAAAATATAAATATCATAATTGGTAACAGCATGGATAAGAGCTTACTAATTTTTATTTGTGTGTATGCGTGTGTTTTGCAAGACTAGAGAGAATTTCCTTGCTACCCGGGATAAAACTGAATCACTTATGAATAAAATGAAGGACATGAAAAAGGTACGTTTATATAGAAATTTTATCTTTTCTCTTAATTGCTCGATTAGATTTTTAGGCACATATAGTTTTCCCTCTATAAACTCATTTTATCATTGCATAAAGTACAAGTGTTAAAAATTAAGAATATTAATATTTTGGATGGATATTTTTTTAAAACAAAAAGTATGCTTTCTATATTTATCTATAATCATTTTTGTTTCTTAGTCTGCTGTAGAAAGTGGTCTCAATAAATTGCACTCGCGTGAAGGATATCTATTCTTAATGGAAAAAAGTAAGTACATTATAATATAAAAAGATATTTTTTTGTAAAAGATTATCTTTTTGTAGAATCTGATATATTGATGTCATATAAATGTCTTTTTTATATATATTATTTTATAAATGTCGCTGGTTATATACATCATCAAAATCATGATTTTGCAGAAGCATTTGGTACAACATGGACAAAACAATATTGCACATATCAAAAAGATAGGAAGGAATTTACTATGATACCTTACAATCAACTCACAGGAAAATTTGTAAGTGAAAGTGAAATATTATTAATGTATATATAATATGTGCTGCTAAGAATCTTCGGAATAATTTTTCAATATTTTCTTGATAGAGCAGCAAGGAAACCTTTACACTAGCCTCTTGCGTACGACGTACATCGGACACTATTGAAAAAAGATTTTGCTTTGATATTACTGCCGTCGATAGGTAAGTTGTACTCGACTTTCTCTCGCACGATTATTTTGTACGATTTAATTAATAGAGCTTATTTATTTATTTATTTTATTTCACTAAATGGAAGGTGATTTAAAAAATCTTTCCACTGTTTTTTCTAGACTTAACGTGGTATACACATTCCAAGCACTTTCTGAGGAGGATAGGAAATTATGGATGGATGCTATGGATGGAAAGGAACCTGTAAATATTTTAATACATTTTGATAGTATTTAGATGATTGTTTTCACTACTAATATTAATTTTTTATCTTTTATGATCAAAATTGCACATAACTTGTATTTTCCAGTCTTATCCACGATTAGGTTCTTCCGCGAGACCAGAAGATATGACGTTAGCTGAAACCGGTTTTACATTCGTATCGAAGTGCATCGCGGCGCTCGAAGATAGAGGTGACGTGATTATACTTTTTTTATCACGAATTAATAGAGCTTTGTTTGGTCAATGTTATCGGTTTCTTTGAAATTATCGATTATTATTCCATAGGATTAGAAGAACAAGGTCTATATAGAGTAGTTGGAGTTGCCTCCAAAGTGAACAAACTCTTGACCATGGGTTTGGATAAGCGAAAAGCGGACAAGCTCAATTTAAGCGATCGTTTCGAGTGGGAGAGTAAAACTATTACCAGTGCGCTCAAGACTTACCTGAGAACATTGTCCGAGCCGTTAATGACCTTCCGATATTACAACAGCTTCATTACAGCTGCGAGTGCGTATAGGTATTCTTGATAATATATTGTTTTATTTTGACTATTGTATTTATTCTCAAAGATTAAAGACATTCCAGGAGAGACGATTTTCTTTTCTGTTTCTCTCTAAAACAAATACTTTTGTTTGCTCTTTCCGTCGCTCTTAATTGTTTTCGATACTCTTCGTGTATAAGTGAAATCTGAGGTTTCACTGTGATTTTTACATTATGACGTTTAACAGAACAGGAGATGAAGGAAACTCGGATAAATGATATACATAGCCTCGTTTATCGATTGCCCAAAGCCAATTTCAATATGCTGATCCTTCTTATTACTCATCTTTGCACGTAAGAAATGTTTACACTTATTACTCATTTATGGAATTTTTCACTCTGTCATATGTGCATGTCTAAGTTTCACTTACTCGTCTCGACTCAAAGATTTAATCTAGAAAAGATTTTTCTTTCATATTCATATTGTATCATATTTCATTTATGTTTGGATTAAATTTTCAGTGTGGCAAAGAAAAGCGATAAAAACCTGATGACTGTGGGAAATCTGGCGGTATGTTTCGGTCCAACTTTATTACGACCAGAGGAGGAAACTGTAGCTTCTATAATGGACATTAAATTTTACAATATTGTTGTGGAAATATTGATCGAGAATTGTGAAAGAATAGTAGCTGGACCACCCCAAGATTCTTTGCGCGTAGCGGCAACGCAGCCTGCGTTACAAGCTATTGCTGTACCAAATAAAACGCAATGTGTCAAGGAAGAAGGTCCAACCTCGTCGGGTAATGGAATGGCATTTTTAAGATATCCATTGCACACGGCAGTAACGGTTGCACCCACATCGTCGCATACGCACGTGAGTTTAACATTATTCTTTTTTTTATTGTTAAATTTTATGTGTGTGTGTGCGTGTGCGCGCGCGCGCACGCGCGCACACACACGCACGCACACACACACACACAATGTGTATGTGTATACAGCTCGTTACAAGATCTTATTATGATGGCCAGCCTTTGACCGTTGTTAACAAGTCGCCCACTGTCGACGAGAGGAACAATGGGGATTATGAAGATCTCGATAGTACGACCCATCGTATACCATCGTATTTGGACAGTCGCGGCGGTAACACCAGCAGCAGTCGCATGAAATTGACTAACGCGAACCTTATGTATCATTCAGCTGACTAAAGGTTTTGTTGCATTTTTTTCTTATGTTATTTCGCAATAATTGATAGTATCGTTTCTTGAAATGAAAACTTTATTATTTCAGTTCTAAGTGGTGGCAATACGAGTAGCTCAAGCGAGTCAATTGCATCGGATCCTCATTCTTTTACAAGTGAGTTACCAGTGAAGCATAAACGTGGCACAATGATATCCGTGCACTATCCTACAGCTTATCCTCAGCGTAGTAACTCATCGATATGTCCGTAAGATATCCCAATATTTTTATTAAAAAAGATTGTATTTTTTTTATTGTATATTTTATTCTTAAACGTTATTTTCTTAATTATGATCGTGCGTGATTACAGTATCAACACTTCCCCCAATAGTGGACGTTCGAGTCCTGGTCAAATTCCAGGAATTTGGTAAGTATTCTATATATAGGATTTAAGAGTTCAGAGATTTAGAATTCTAAATTTGTACGAATTCTCAGGAGAGTACGAACTTTATACGCATGCATGGCGGAAAATGATGGCGAATTATCATTTGAACCAAATCAAATTATCACAAATGGTAAGAACGGCACGATGATTTTAACATGAATAAAGAATATAATGAAAGAAATCTATTAATATTATTATTATTATTATAGTTAAGGCCTCTTTGGAACCAGGTTGGTTAGAAGGTACATTAAACGGCAAAACAGGTTTAGTTCCGAAGAATTATGTGGAGCAACTGCCCTAAATACTGCAACAAAAGAAAAAAACCAAAGAGCGTCGAAGAAAATATAGGTAATTTTATCATTAAAAAAAAACTTGCAAACATTTTTTTAGATACTGTTTTTGATGCCATTGAAAGAAATAAATTAATGAAAGCTGTGCGACGTACAAAAACACCCGCATCTCAAGCTTTTATCATTTTATATCAATTTCTTTGGCTATACACTGCTTAGTCAATTACAATTAACAAATTATTACAAATTAATATACATATATGTAAATGATTATTTATTAGAAAATATTTTATTCTGTGTGTATATCTGAATTGTATATATATATATATATATATATATATATATCTA